CGTTAACTTTGATCGAGTTCATATTAGTGAATTCATTCTTAATGTAGGCTGATTGAGATCAAAAATTTACAATGGTAGGATCACCAACACTGTCTCAAAAACTGACTCATCTACGATAAAACTGAATATAATGGGTTTTGTTAAAGCATATCAGTAAGGAAATAGGAGATCGATCGATATTATGTAAGCGCCGCTATTGTAATAATCTGTGATAGAATTAAGGTTTAAAGTGATTCGAAATGCATGAATTTTAACTCTAAAATGCTGGGTAAGTCAGCTTAAATTTTTTCTATCTACATATCAAAAAGTTTCTGAAATTTAATAAAAATGCCTAAAATTTCTGTAGTTAGTCATAGATGATTTTAAAAAATGATATTTCCTGGGCTCCTGGTTTCCACTGAAACTGGTCAAGTGTCGACTGGATATTATTATTATTATAGAGCTTGGATATGCTAGATTGTACTGGTTAAATTGTTTTAAAACCCTGGTTGTCATAAATGTATTATTCTTTTTATAAATAATAAAACTCATTAACTTTGCAGAGAATTGGGGTCATTTTTATGTAACTTAGTTATTAACAAATAATTCAGATTCTATGGTGGAGTTTTGTAAGGAATGAAGCACATGTGCAAATCAGGTAACTCTTGACAGTAGAATCGTCTCAATAAAAAAAACTTTTCATCAGCGTAGACAAATGCCTCTTCTAAGAAACTAGGTGAAAACCATCACATGTTGAAACAACCCCCTAACAATTAGTACTCCACGTTGGGATATAGCAGCCTTTACTTCCGATTAATCAATTAACTATATATGCTTAGATGAAAGAGTTATCATATAATTCTTGTTTTCGATGCTAATTTAACTAAGGTCAATCTTTGACGAGTATCATATACAAAATAATTCAGTGCTTGGATACACTTTGATATTGTTTATTAAATGGGAATCAGTCAATTGAATTAAGACATTTTCTCATTCAAGAAACCTTATATAATATGAGTGATTAGTATTTTTCAACTCATCCTGACACACCTTGTTTTCTTCTGATTAAAACTTTTTTATTATGCAATGAATTGATTGGAAAAGACCATTCCCAATTTGAACTATTTTCCAGTATTTAACCACATCATGTTTTATGAACAATGAGGACACTTTTTTTCAATTCAAGTATAAAAAATCTGTTTCACACTATGGAATACTATCTAAACTATTTGACTATGTTCATATTTTGTTCGAAACTTCAATAGACTACTCACTAAAGAAACAATTCAAGACACACACCACAGTGATTAAAAAATGACTATTTTTACTAGAAATTTATACATTATTTGGTCACTGAAAAGTTACTATGCTTATTCGATTTATTTCTTAGTGTTGACTGAATACAATACTACTCATCTACAATGTAGCTACTAGAGTAGATGGCTTAATCTCGTGGTGGATTTTATTTAATATAATTATGGATAGAGTAAATCATCAGTCTGTGTACCTAAATTTAATACTACACAACCCTCATCAGCCTAGTGTCTGAGACTTGGAAGAAACTAACTTCATACACGGGATCTGAACACGTTATAAATCTTGCCACAGAGATGGCACCGATGAGCTGCTCGGGTGCTAATGAAATGAGTTGCAATCCTCACAGTTTAGTTTTGTTGAGAGAGCGGATATGGCTTGCTAAGTTGAGTCATCCGCCACGAAGCATATGTCTAGGACATATGGTCGATTGTTGCCGACCACTTCAAATTGGAAATGAATTATTATCATAATACTATTATCATTACATTTACAGTCACATGCAAATAAATCTACAAATTGTATAGTTTAGCCTAATGGTACTCAAACAAATCGAAATGTAACGGAAACGAAAAATTGTATCATTACAGTGTAGGAACGACTTAACGATAACATTAAAATGACCTTGTGATTTTGAAGCAACGTTTCAATGATGAACAGAATATATGCACGAATTCCAAGTGTTTCGCCGCAGAAGTAATGTGACTTATTGATGTATTATAGTTTTAGAAAGTTATTTCATGGCTCATTATCAGCTTTTCTGCCTTAAATTAAGAGAGATGCCGCTAAATAGTCTAATTTATTTGACGCAAAACACATACACTGAAGGTTTTATTTTATGGGTCTGTGTCATTCCCACGGTTAGTTAGACAGGAGTTCATTAGAGAACTAAGGTGATGGATTTCCAACACAACGGTATGTGGAAGTTATGTCTGGAAATAGATGCCTATTTATGCAGTCCTACTATTCAGTAGAACAATGACACAATGATTACTTCAATATTCTAATCTAAACAAACTTAACTGAAACAAGTCTCATTGATTTACGTGTTAGTATAGTCTACATGGAATGGAGTGAACATTTCAAATGTTCTCTAGCATTAGGTGAAAAAATATATATTTCTTAATGGTTTTAAATCTTCTTATGTATTTCGACCAAACCTTTATATGCTGTAAAATGAAAGTCATTCACTTTTGAATTTAAATAAAAATACCGTCAGTGTTCTTTTTTCAATTCCGATTGTCTCATCTTTATTCGTAGCTGATCTTATAACGTAAAGAAAAAGCCATAGATAACAGATGTTACAATCATTATATACTGTGACTAGTTACTAATCAATATGGAATGAAACTACTCTCTTCTTATCTCTGTATTACATCTACCCATCCGCTTATTATTAAGTTTATCACTGATTGCTATATATGTTTAATAATTGCGAAAGCTCTTATGCAGTTATATATGTATGATTCCAATTACGTTTAATAATCTTGATGTTTGTACGTAAAATGTTTGCATGTTTACGGCAATACATATCAATAGTATATATATATACGCAACTGTACTAATCTTACAATGGTACATTGTTGTTCTTTACGAAACAATTGTTTTTTAAACAGTGTAAAAATGTATAAATATAATGTTAATTATTTTCTACAAAATACAAAGAGGAAGTGTAACTTTGCTTCTCTAGTCATAAACACCATGGCGACTAACAATGCTGTTGAGAGGCTTGTTTAACAGTTCGGAAATTCTTTAATAAATTCCATAATTGTAATACATGATATTGATACAAAGTAATACTGGAACCAGCTTTGTTACGTAGTCACTAGGGTAAAAAACAATACATTATCAGAGAACTGTTTTTTTAAACATAAATAGCATCATTATGTGTATATATATATATATACATACATTGTACAAATTAACAGAGGGAGGGAGTTATCTTATTTGTTCATATTTGTTCTTTCTTCTTCTTCTTCTGATACTTATAGTCTTTCGGTTAATTTTATTTGCTTATTCATTTTTCTGATGCCAGTAATGAACAAATTATTTGTGTATATTTATTTGTTTTGCGCAAATCTACAATAAATTGTTTAATGTTAAACATGTTGTTGTTTTGTTTTTTTCGTTGTTGTTGTTGTTAAGGTAACATAACGTAATGTGAGTATATTATTTGTTACGCGCAATAGAATAAATTTCATACACTGATTGTTAGTATAATGTTTTGTGTACTGACTGTTATATATACGCGTGATTGTATATACGTACTTACCAGTGTAAAGGTAATAAACACAAATTAACATTTTTTTTCAACATGATATATACATTAAGTTGGTTTTGGCGCCAAACTATAATTATTTTATGTTTCCCTCCTTTTAGATATTGCGTGATGATACTAAAGGAAAATGAGTATTTTCTCTATTTTTTCATGCATTTTAATGCTCTAATATATTTACTCCCTTTGCTTAAAATAATTTATTGTTTCTTTCCTATTTATTTCTATTAACCAATCAAAAGTTAACTGATAAAATTGATTAGCCGAAAACGACATATCTGTTCTACTCGCGTAATGATTGGTTAATTAAAGTAACAAGTTATAATTTGAAGAGAAAAAAAAACCTCTCAGGGGAAGACACATGAAATAAACAAAAAATTGGTAAGAAAAGTTTAACAGAAAATGTGAAAAAACAATCAACAAGTAAGTGTTCATTATACTTGGAGAAATGTATTTTTGTTTGTTTTTTTCTGTTTTCTGCAAACAATCAGTAACAAAGAGTATCCCTTTTTTTGTAATGTATCTATGTGCTTTTTGTTAGTATGTCTATCTATACATACTTTCTGATTAGTAACATTATCGTTTTTTTTTCTGTTCCTGTCTTGATTTCTCTTTCCTTTATCAAATATATTTACTGGTAGAAAAATCAACCTATCTATTGAATTGACATTATGAAATGATCATGGGGGATAACACACATATTTGCTTAACCAAACAGTCAAACACATATACACAAATAAAGAATTAATATTTGTGACTCATTATTTTATCAGTCAATTATAATTCAGAGTATTGTATTTCACTAGTCATTATTTTTTATTACAATCAACATTAATAATTCATTATATCACATGCAATAATAATTATTATAATAATAGTAATAATAATAATTATTATTGTTAATGACATTATTATTACTACTACTATCGTCATCATTATTAGTCTAATCAGAAAATTTATTACATTATACACTAAAATAAATCATTTCATGAAATTATAATCAACGATCCATTCAACAAATTTATTCAGATATTCATTACGTAACATCGAAGAAGAAGAAGAAGAAGAAAGGAACATTCACAAAACATCAGATAATCGATTGATTAAAAAAATTCCATTTTATAATAATAATTTACACATATTTTGGATATATTACTTAATGAAAATTGTTTTACATAGTAATATAAATATATTCAATATGTATAAATTTGTAGAACATTTCAGCTGAACATAAATCTTGAAGAAAAAGTTCATTATTCATCAAGTTGAAGTACTAATTATTCATTGTAAATAACTTCACCATTTCAAATAAAATCGATTATCAAAATTTCATTTATCCTCTTTATTGATATAAGTGTCATTGTTTTCATTAATGTTTTTTTATTCAATAGTTGGAAAGGGAGAATAATTTAACAAGATTATTATGTTTCCAATGGATAATCGTCTTGGTCTTAATTCTGCATTTGATAATTTATTTCCACGTTCATTAGGTTCTTGTATAACTAATCCATCACAAGTAGATACATTTCGATCTGAATGGAATAGTAATAATAATATTAGTAACACTTTAACTCAAAATACACTATCTAGTAATAATAATACTGGTAATAGTCTACAACTTACTAATAATTCACAATCACATTCGAATACACAATTGAATTTACGTCAGCCTTCATTATCTACTTGTAATAATGAATTTTCTAATCCCACACTTTCAGTATCATCGTCAAAAGCAAATGTTTTAGCTGCAGCATTTTTCGCTAATTCTTTTACGGATACAAATCAAACTGACTCACAAATTTATCAAAATCCTTCTGGATTTTCGAACACTTTTACTGGGTCAATGAGTATTACTAATTCTAACAAGAGTAATATACAAAGCGTTAACAGTAATAATAATCATAATAATGATAACAATGTTTATAATATGAAAATGAATACTTTTCGATCACGTTCAGAATTTAATCATTTCGATCTTGGATCAAATACTTCTCATCCCATTGACTTGTTTACCAATTCTACCCATTTTTCTTTACCTGGTACGAATATGAATAATAATACAACAATAATTAGTACTAATAATCAATTTGGTCCTGGCAATTCATTGCACTTAATTTCCTCGGCTCACAATAATAATAATGCCAAAGTAGAATCCCCTTACAATAAATCAAATCAGCCATGTGAAATGGGTGCATTTCATCCATTGGTTTCAAATTATTCACCGATTAGTTTGTTAAATTCATCAATACGATATCCTTTACGACATTCTGCTTCAGATATTGCAAATGCTGAAAATCAACGTATTGATGCGTCAAATCCATTTTTAGATTTTCATAATCCTAATTCTACATCACTTACTAATACATCTATGATAAATTCAGAAATAAATAACACTGTTAATTCGCTAGATAATCAAACAATTGATTCACATTTTAAATCTAATTACAAACATTTTACAAATAAAACAGCAGCTGATGCAGTAGCAGTGGAAACTCCTTCTGTCGGTGGTATGAATATTAGTGGTTACAATAATGCTAGTCTTAATATAACGTCACCTGATATGATACGACATATGGGACAAAATATGACAGTTACATCATCGAATAATGCCGCAGTTGCCGTGGCTGCGATTGCTGCCGCCGCAGCTGCTACAAATTATATGGTAGCTAATACTGGAATGTCTAATTTCGGTGTTTCATCACATTTAAATTTAAGTGGACATAGCAGAGAATCCGGAATAGATGGTAGTGATATGATATCACCATCATCAACACCATGTGAAAGGCTGAATAAACAAAATAATAATAATCATCAAATGGAGAATAGTGTAAATATAGGAAATCATCTAAACAGTGGTGGTAGTAATAATAGTGTTAGATCTTCATTATCTCCAACACATATATGGCCATGGATGACTGTTGTGGGTAAGTTATTCAATCAGTTTGTAGCTTAATTGTTTATTCATATTTTATCGTTAAAATACCCTACTTGATAAAATCAGATCTACAAAGTAGTTCATATTTTATTTATACTGAATAATGTTAATCTTATTCGTTAAGGATGAGCTCGATAATTTAAATCAATACGGAATAAATTTAATCCATTCTTTTAGTACTGTAATATGTTCAGAGATTTGACCGTTTTTGTTGTTTAATGCACAAATAGTCATTTTATTCTGTTTTGTAAGGAATAACATTTGGCTTTAGTGTAAGAGACAAGACTATTGACAAAACCAAAAACTTTGTACAGTAATTGAAATCTATAAAGATAAAGAAAACTAATGTGATAAAAAGGATTCGGTTGATATCTGACAAAATTATTATGTAGGATGAAGTTGGCTAGGTTTTATAATATAGTTCATTTATCCTGAGACAACAGGATCATATGAATTATGGCATATATATCTTTTATTTTGTATTTTAGCATCAGAACGCAAAAAGCAATGTTATTATGACAAAAGTTAAATACAATGATTAAATGCAAAGACAGTAATGCCATTAATATTGAAACTCATGACTGATTAATTGAAGGCTTTTTTCATAATCTTTTGATACAAAACTATTCATTTTACAATTGAAGGTATTTATTATTATTGCACCAAAAGTTAAATGATCACACTGTTTCATTTTGTAACTTTCGATTAATAACTAAGACTTTAAAGGAGTATAACTATTGTTATAAATAAACCACATACATATAGTTTGGCTGACAATATTTTGGAAATCAGTAGAATGATAAACATTTAAACAACCTTAAACTTGTTTGATTTATGGTACTGAGCGGAAACTATTGTACGCATATCATTAATAAATATTTATCAGGAAATTTTGATGAAAGTTGTCCAAAATGGATTTAAGATATTAGATATGAGGCCATTTTGTGTAGATATAACTGGTTTTTGAACAATCTTATATCGCAAAATGTTAGTATCTTTTTCCAATAGATTATGTAATTGAGATTATTAATCGATCAATATTAGACCACCATTGAAAACCCAGAAGCACTGAATGGCCGGTTCGCCCTAATACGAAACTACTCAGCAGTGCTCATCCACGATCCCGCATTTGGGATTCGAATCCAGGACCTTTGCTCTCTCTCATGAACTCTTAAAATCTAGACCACCGATGCGCGCTGCTGAGATGTCCCATGCTAGGACGAAGCCACCGTCTAATGCTTTCTGGTTTTCAGTGGTGGTCCAACATCAATCGGTTCATGATTTCAATCAAAAACTCAACAATCTCCACAGCCCCATGCTGAAGATTATCTAAGATTACATTGATTAAATTTTGACGAATATTTGTGTCTACTGTTGTAGTTATAATTACCCAGTGTTTTCTGCCATGTTTAAATAATGCAGAGAATTAATTGCAAGTTTCTACTAAATACTTAGTTATGATTTATAGTTGCATGTGACCAATCATCTAAATTTAGTACATCTGTGAAATATGGATGTATTTAACAACCTTTTTGAGAAACGAATGAACAGACAGTTCTCTGTTGTATATATTTATAATTTCCCATTATGAATATTCAACAGTGATATGAGTAAATTTTGTTAGCAAATAAACACTTCAAGTTGTTAAATTATAATCTCAGCGGAAATCATAACACTGGGATAAGTGTACATTTAGTTGAGAAGAATTAAGTAAAGGGAAACTTGTCTTTCACACTTTTATTTTTGATATCCATTATAAAATAAATAAAAAGTCGTTGCCCGGATAGCTCAGTGGTAACATCTTTGACTGTGAAGCTGAGTGAAAGGGGATCAAATCCGTCAGAGAACACCAGTTCCATCAAGATTACAGGTACACCTTGCTGACGAGTACCAAGTAGCATGAAACCTGGGCCCAGGGTTTCCTGTTGAGTACCTCCAACCACCATCTGATAATTCTAGAATTCGATTTCATATTTAAAATCAAATTTAGTAAGATTGAAGTCATTTTAATGTAAACTGACTATTTAAAAATAATTAACAGTTCAGTATTTCAGATAAAGTATCCATAAAAATTTTACATACCATGAAATTTATTTAATCAGTTCGAGTGAGTAGCTGATGCACTTCCATTTTGCTAATTTTTGATTATACAATAAATGGGAAATAAATTGTTTAAAAATACCGGTTTCTGTATCATTGACTAAAGTGATTATTTAAAAGAAAGTAAATTCAACTGTCAAATCGATTATATTCATTTACTCCTCTATTTTTCTAAATAAAATGGACAAACGGCTAATTATGTGCATCATAAAGTTTACTCATGGATTTTTTATAACATTTTTTTCTCCTTAAAGTAATGCTAATACAACATCGTTTTGCATTAAACCCAAACTTCGGGTAGAAGTCTGATGATATCGTTCAGAAGAATGATGAAAACTCCACGACCCAATCATCTAGCTCAGAGGACAAAACTCCATCAAAATCATTCACTTGAGCTACACATCTTTTAAAACCTGTACTTTACACAAATCATAAAATCAAATAAATGGATTGTCCTTTAAATGACAAGTTTCAGAGACTTTGAATTATTGTCTACGTCTGTATTGAAAATATTACAAGTGTCTGAAAGTACAAACTTTCATATAGGTTAATAACGATAGTTCAAATATCTGTATACAAAGCAATGGCTAACATTAGTTAGTTGAGAAAAAATATTCATGACAGTTGCCAAACAATTATTTCATTATATCTTTATGTTTAAACAAAATATCCTATTTATTATCACTTTAGTTTTAATTAGTACCTGACTTTAGGCGTTTTTATCCACCAACTGTCAGAAGTAAGTACGTAATATCATGGAAGCTGTTTTATAAGTGATCATTTCATTTGAAAAAGTTGTTTAGTAAATATTCAATTTCTTTTCTAAACATATATATGCTTAGGCTAAGAGAACAACCGTTGCATTTTTGATCCTCGTATTCTATATTAGTACACTGCTATCTACAAATTATTTGTTTTATAAACTGTTTTTAGCTTAGAAAATATCAAGGTACTAAAGAACAACGATACGATTCAGTTTGAATCTGAATAATGAAAGCATATAAGTCATTTGTTTTGGAAAACTGCATGTTACGAATATGGGGGTGGATTATTAGTATGTTTTGAAGAAAAAATCCGACTGACACGTTCGCGTCATGCCTCCTGGATAGTGGGACGAATGACTCATGAACTAACGTGAACAGTAACCCGCGTGGTAGAGATCGGGCTAATCACCCACTCGACCGGTACTTTCAAATAAATTACGGGCTCCACAAAGAAACACAGCACAATTACTCTTGAATGGAAAAACGACGAAAATTGACAAAAGTGGTGCCTGCAATGTACGGGGTTGCTCCTCACTGGGCAAACTCTAGCTGGTAGCAAAAACAGCTATCCTAGCCCCGGTAGTTGTGCCGTGCTTTGATGTGGCCTGTTTTGCTCCAGAGGAGCCTACTAGGCTTGACCAACTTGTATGGCTGAAAGGGGCAGCTTCAAATGATTTGGCCCTCACTGTAATACCGAAATTATTTTGATAATTCTATCTTGTTTATGCTCCTGAATAAAAATAAAATCAGTAACATAACCCAGTTAGGACTGTTTAACAAATCAAAACGACATGATATTAAGCTGTTTGTCAAAACGTCGATAGAGACTGTATAGTCGCTACTTTTATTTCCAAGTATTTCTTAGTTGTCCCAAATAGGACGAAACGCGCGTCCTGGATTCCACTGCTAGCCACTATCCATCATTGCTTACAATATAGTTTAATATGCTGTAATAATGGAGTGATAGGCAAATAAATATTTACCTTAATTTAATCATCAAAACTTTTTGGTTTGTTTTTCAAGCATTTTTATACTTTCTAATTCATCACAGACAAAGTGTAATCGAACTAGTATCAATGGATAAATTTTGCTAGTAACACACAAGTACTTAGTGTGCTGTTAGAGATTTTGTCAAAAATCGTTTAGAGCTACATTCAGAACAATGGGAACTTTTATGGTAATTGTTTTTGATTTTTAATAAATGACATTTTCAAAGAAAAACCACATATTTAGTTTGGTTTATTTTATACAAATTAACATCATCCTAAGCCTTCTGGAATAAGAGATGTCGATTATACTTTAACTTAAGACTTTATCTTCAAGGTACTTTGGAATGTTATTCTTTAAAAACTTTTTTTTCTAAGTTTTTTCAATAATGGTTTTAGAAATATGTAATCTTTACAAACGTTTGAGTGTTCTTTTTTTGAACCTGGTTATTAACAGATATCACTAAACGAGGACATTATTAATTTAATTTATAATAGGTAGGATTATCCCATTGTTAATTGTTTGACCAAAATTTGATCATTCTTAGTTGGCATCTGTGCACTCTGTGTAGAATGCCTTAATACAGCCATTATAATACAAATTTATACAGAGTAGATGGATATAAGTACATCCAGCTGGCAAGTCCCAAGAAGGACAAAACGTGCATCATCTATTCCACTGCTGAAGACGTTACATCATTTCAATATAAAGGATATTATTAATTAGACTTGAATTTTCATACCATAATTTATTTATGAACCCAGATAATTTGCAATCGTGTTAAGTAGTATCAAAGCGATAGATTTTGTAATTGATACTCATAATAAGCTATTGATGTTTTATTACATACATACTCGATTAGCCATCAGAGGTAATTGTTAAAGACAACTGAAAACATTGGTGTTAATTCTTGATGATAGAAAGTCAATCGAAAGGTAGTTTGTGCATACAACAACGATACAATCTAATATATCGAACATTAAATTAAAGTTTTATTCTCAGTACATCTGGACACGAAATCATATATAACCTAACCACTAGACTTCAAAATTAAATTTGCCTCCCCTAAAATTATGCAGTCAGTTAAACTATTTGATAATCATCATCCTTATATTTTAGTTGCTAGTGATATTGTTTT